AGAAGTAAAACTAGAGTAAAATTTCTCTCACCTAATCATGAGAAATATATTACTCTACTTTTCTCCTAGTCGTGAATGAGATGAAAACACATTTATTTTTGATTCTTAGAACATAGAGAAACTGAGCAAAAAAATTATTTACTCAACTTTATTAATGCTAGATGTTCGATTTCAATCACACTCAATGTGATATGTTTCATTTGGCTTTGCCTAAAATCGGTTTTGTACTGATACTAGCAAAGCCTAGTCAAAACCTATGATAAATGTTACCTGAAGCTAGTGCAGTTAGCACAATAAGAACCAGTAGTAATATCATTGGAAAGAACTAGATCAGTTCTTTTGATGTTAGTTTTTGTTTATTTGTTTTCTTAGAATTTTGTTTGGAGGTTTAGGTGCTTTTTGTATTAATAAATTCATTAAAGACTCTTTTCATATACACCAAAAAATATTGTTCCGCAACCAGGACTGAACGCGGCTTTCATCAATTTGAAAATAACCAGTGTGCTACAGCGGTTGTTTGTATTGATTTCCCACTGATATATAGTATGGCTTTTTCTTCTTCTTACCAGGTCAGTGTAAAACTAATAATCGGACTTAAAACAAAGTGAAAAAAAAACTGTTTTCCACTGCCGGGCTTTGAACCCGGATTTCATGCTATTGAAATTAACCTGTGTGCTACAGCGGATCCGTTGCTAGTTGCTACATTCATTCATCTATAACTATAAGCCCTGTTCTTTTGGTGAACGCCAAGACCAGCGGTTGCGTCAAAAAAATACAATGCAACAGAGACAAAATGAACGGCACGGAAAATAGAATTGATCACTAGTGAACCTCCGGAAGTACAAAAACTGAGAAACAGTTGACGCTGAATATATAACTAGATTTATATGTTTCGGGAGAGAGGCCCATTAAAAAGGATGTTAAAATATGACGTCATCTTATCTTCCTCGCTCGATTCAACTCCACCCACCAAAACAGAGTTTCTTTTTTCCCGAGACAATCAGCAAAAGTGAAGCAAGCGAACGAGAGGAAGGAACACAATGAGCTCATGGGTTTGCTCTTACGTGTCTCGAAACATCGTAACCTCCGATCCTCCACACCCTTTCTCATCATCCCAACACTTTAGTTCTCCGGCGTCGTTTCGAAGAGCATCCGTCAAGTTACCCTTTACGTTTACGCCGAAGTTTCGTCTGCTGAAACTCCAAAAGTTTCAATCTTTATCGTCAACTCATGAAGGGGAAGAAAACTCCGAATCAATCGTACAAACCCTCAAGATTCCAGACGAGTGGTTGCTCCCTTCCAAGGCCATTGAGGTGTTTTCTCAAATGCTCCTAATTAAACGTTTCTCTGTTTCTGGTTCTCTGTTTCTGGTTCTCTGTTTCTAGTTCTCTGTCTCTGGTTCTCTGTTCTCTGGTTCTCTGTTCTCTGTTTCGAGTTCTCTGTTTTTAGTTTTCTGTTTCTGGCTCTCTGTTTCTGGCTCTCTGTTTCTGGTTCTCTGTTTCTGGTTCTCTGTCTAAAGTTCTCTGTGTCTGGTTCTCTGTTTACTGTTCTCTGTCTCTGGTTCTCTGTTTACTGTTCTCTGTTTCTGGTTCTCTGTTTCAAGTTCTCTGTTTTTAGTTCTCTGTTTCCAGTTATCTGTTTCTAGTTCTCTGTTTACTCATAAAGTTGCTTACTTTCCTAAGAATAGCAAAATTTGAGAATCTAGCTTGTGTAGTAGATGATATGATGTAAGTATGTCTTTTAAGCATTTGTTTACTCATAAAGTTGCTTACTTTACTGAATCCACCTTTGTGTAGTATATGGTGTGATCTAACAATGTCTTTCAAAACATTTGTAGATTGTTATTACATGGTATGCTTCTTGTTTAGTTCTTTGGATTGCTGATCTTTGACATGTTTGATCAGGAATCTGAATGGTTGAGAGTAACTCTACACAAGTGGTTGGATGATGAGTATTGCCCTGAGCCAACCAATGTGGACATCAGTAATGTAGCTGCAAAGTCTCTCTACACTTCATTGCTAGAGAAAGAAACTGACATGGGAGTGATTTTGCTCAAGATGGCTCAAGACTTGACCTCAATTTCATACCAAGAAAGCTTCCATGGAGCTTTCACATCCGCTAACGCAGCTATAAATTTGATAGTAGAAAAAGTAGAAACTGGCATAGTTTAAGTACCATTGAACAATGTCTTGTTTGTAAAAGTTATGAATATTATCAAACTTGATCAGGTGCAGGGAAATCTAAACTCTTTACAGTTGTGAATCCTCCATCTACCACCAGGTTATGTCCATTTACATACTTTGAATCATCTGATGCTAAGTAGACCGCTGCGTTAGCTACATCCACCGGTTCACAAACCTCTCCGTTCAACACTCCTGTGCCATGCACTATCTGGACCAGCTTCGAGTCGTCGATGTTAGGGTAAATCTGCCGCATCTCATCCATCACGAATGATGTTGTGATTGCAAAAGGTGAAATGGAGTTGACTCTGATCCTGTGCCTGCATAGCTCTGAAGCTGTTGATCTCACGATACCGATGACTGCAGATTTCGAGACGCTGTAAGTGTGTTGTGCTAAACCTCCCATCATCCCTGTGACACTCCCTGCGCAAATGATGGATCCTGAGTTACGTGGGATCATCACACGAGCTGCATGTTTGATTCCAGCGATGACTCCACGAACATTTGTGTTGATTACCTGAAAAAAAAACATTAAAAAGGAACCTGATAAAACTGTCTTTAGACTTGTTATCTCTATGAACCTGTAAGATCAGTACCTTGTCGAAAACATTGAGATCAAGATCGACGATACTAGGAGGCGTTTTGCAGGGGATACCAGCATTGTTGTACATAATGTCAAGCTTTGTGTGTAGAGAGACAGCGAAATCAACCGCGTTTGCAATGTCTGATTCTTTGGTTACATCGCAGAGACAAAACGCTGCGTTTGGACCGAGTTCTTGCTCGGTTTCTTTCCCCAGCTGCGGTTGGATATCTGCAATGACGACTTTGGCTCCATGGCTGATGAATTTTCCGGCTGTTGCTTTGCCAATCCCACTTGCTCCTCCTGTGATGAGAGCTACTTTGCCTTCTAGCTTCCTTTTACAAATATGTGACAATTATAGATTAGGTCTTAGTATTAGCCTATTAGATAAGACTTCTCATATATATATGACTAAGTATGCAAACTTTGTTTTTTAGTTCATATGCTCAAACATAGCTTGCAAACTGATTGCAATCCGGCAATCCAGTATTAAAAATCGAAATGATCAAAATAAAAAACCAACCACAACCACCATTTTTTATTATTTCCTGACATCAAAAGGTCATTCTATTATTCAAATTTGCGATTTATTTGGCGACCAAACCGTAATAGAACAATCAGTTTGAAAATCTAGCACTTTTTGACTAAAAGCACGAGTTAAACGAATCCACGCCAATTAAAGCATATTAGCCAAGTTGAAACATAACGCTTATGTTCAACCATGCTTTGTAGATCTTTTCTTTTGAAAATAAAAACAGTAAACACAAACTTGTTTTGTGTAAGCGATAATCTGTTGTTCCTCTTTTATTTTCTTTCTTTGATAAATGCTAACACATTTGACCTTTCTTAGCTAGTAGAAAGAAAAAAATCATTCCAACAACAAGATAAGGTTTTGTTGAAGAAGACAAATGAAAGCAACCCAACTTGAAATATCAAATTATTTACGTAGATGACACATTGACATTCACAAAAAGACATATAAATTAAGATTGTGGCTTTTCATTTGCTATATTCATAAACCCCACCTTACAATGAATAAATATGATCCATTTGTTTAAAAAAATAAAACAGAACATGTTATTCCAGGTATCTCTATCTATCATTGCATTGACTACTAATAAACCTATAGATTATACATAAAACCTTTTTGTGGCTCAATTAAATATAAGAGATTCTTTAACACATGAACTTAAATATAGAGGTCAACAGTTCAGATTCTTTGAAAAAATGGGATTAAGATGGGACTTGCCTTGAACTTGAATGAGTTGATGCAGAAGAGGAGATTCCATTGATGAAGAAGTTTTTGCTCACACACAGTCTCTTGATCAATGCATTTCTTCTATCCTCAGATATACAAAAAAGTCAGAATATATACATAGTGTGTTCCTTGTTAAGATCTGCAGAAAGGGAGAAAGGGGTACATGAAAAGGAGGTTTACCTTATCTGAAACATGTCTTGTGTATGGCTCTGAGATAGATCGGTCTTTGTCGTTTTCAAACTTCTTACTTCGAGTCTTGAGATGGGTCTCTGTGTGTTGTATCTAAAGTAGATATATATAGAGTAACAGAGAAACAGAGAGATACATAAAGGTGGTGGGCTTTAAGGAGAGAGAAAGAGAAAGATGTATTCTTGAAGGAGAGAGAAGGAGACAAAGAAAAGAGAATCTAATGGGGCTGTGATTGAACCAGTAGCATCCTCGCATGCATGCGTTTTTGTGAAAGTTTGATCCTTATTTTTTTTTGCTAAAAGACAAAAAAGGAATATTTTTTTTTTTTTTTGGTATGAGCAAAAAAGGAATATGTTATAATAGTCAAGCATGTGTTGATTTCTTACCAACATAAGATGTCATAGCCTAATATGATGAGTGTAATCTTTGAACTAGTCCTCGGCAATGAGCATATTATCTAAAACCAAACCGAAAAATCGAAATCAAAAGCATCAACTTTCTTACCCCCCCCCCCCCCCAAAATGACAAAACTTGAATGGGTATCCGAATCATATATTCTATAAATTTGAGCAATTTGCACAAAAAATATACAATAATATAAAATTTGTAAGGATGGAAAATACTGGTGAGATCCAACAGTGATAGGTGTAAAAAGATACCGATATCCCTGTTATTTGTTTATGTTGGAAACGAGAATTTTGTCGAAATTATTCATGTATCTACAAAAATCATAGACCCATCTATTATCTTTCTTTCTCTTTCTCTCTCTTTATATTATTTTCATCTCTCTCATACTCGTTTCTTCATGGAAACCACAAGCACATCTTTTTTTTACCTGAAGATAAATTATAAAACACTAATCATCTTTCTTTTAGATCAGGATATTTTATATTAATAATTTTTATCATTGTTAGATCCATTGCCACAAATTCACACACTCAGCTTTCAATCACACTCAAACTATCAAGTTTTGGATGTGGTTACATGACGGTGCGTAGACTCGCATAAGCTGGAAAGCACGAGCCTTCTTTAACAAAAGCTCCTTCACCCTTCACCCTTCACGCTTCAACAAATGTTTTCTTTCTGACCATCATCACCCACAGCTGGCTTTGCCGCATTACCCTCGTCAAGTACTATCTCTGGTGGATCAACTTAAAAGACGAGAGTCAGTTAAGGATGAAGTGCCGATTATTAGTAGTTACCATGATTCTTGGAAACCTCTTTCACTTTTATTTATGATGTAATTATGAAATAATTATTTAAGACTTTACTTGAGTTTTTTTGTTATTTTTAGTATATACTAATTATCTAGATATTAGTATTCTTAGTTAGTATTTTTAATAAATGGTCGGTTAACACTATAGTTATCCGACTACATATGTTTTCTCGATTATAACTATCTGACTAATAATTATTCACCTTGCTTAATTCTTTTTTCGGTGGTGTTAGCTTAACTCATATAAGTAGAACTCATATAGTTGATATGTAAGTTAACATGGTTATATTATTAATTTTCAGATCTTCCTTAAATTAACATGGTTATATTTTGAATTATCAGAATACTTTACATGTTAGCTGATATTTGGATTTAAAATTACCGGCTAATGTATCGAATGATGGTTGTGTCTATNATGGTTATATTATTAATTTTCAGATCTTCCTTAAATTAACATGGTTATATTTTGAATTATCAGAATACTTTACATGTTAGCTGATATTTGGATTTAAAATTACCGGCTAATGTATCGAATGATGGTTGTGTCTATTGTTAGTTGGTTTGGAACAATTCATAACAAGTACTTATGTTTTACACATATTGTAACTTGAATTGTATTGTATGTATTTGTTTTCGTAATCGGATAATTGTAACAAAAAGGTCTAGTAAGATCTAGTAATCGATTGTCACAAATTCCATCATTGAAAAACAGTTCGCTATATCACAAAAAATCATGACAAGACTGAAATAATATGTGGTAGGGAGTGATTCGATGGAATTCATTAGCACTTAGAATACAATGACCATAGAAGAAGCTCTGATAAAAACATGATATAGATATGATAACACATTGTATAAGACTAAGGCTGTAAACAAATAAGCTCTGATAAAAACCTGATATAGATACGATAACACATTGTATAAGACTAACGCTGTAAGCAAATTCATATGGAAAAACTCCAAATTTGAATTACGAAGACAGAAAATACAATGTAAAAATTAGTATCGCAGCTATACTAATTTCTCATTATATGACTATATGATTTTTATTACTGATTCACATCCACTGTATATTTTTAGTTGAACAAATTAATATATCAAATTATTGTTCGATCAAAGTCAAAATATATGTTTTCTCGATTATAACTATCTGACTAATAATTATTCACCTTGCTTAATTGTTTTTTCGGTGGTGTTAGCTTAACTCATATAAGTAGAACTCATATAGTTGATATGTAAGTTAACATGGTTATATTATTAATTTTCAGATCTTCCTTAAATTAACATGGTTATATTTTGAATTATCAGAATACTTTACATGTTAGCTGATATTTGGATTTAAAATTACCGGCTAATGTATCGAATGATGGTTGTGTCTATNATGGTTATATTATTAATTTTCAGATCTTCCTTAAATTAACATGGTTATATTTTGAATTATCAGAATACTTTACATGTTAGCTGATATTTGGATTTAAAATTACCGGCTAATGTATCGAATGATGGTTGTGTCTATTGTTAGTTGGTTTGGAACAATTCATAACAAGTACTTATGTTTTACACATATTGTAACTTGAATTCTATTGTATGTATTTGTTTTCGTAATCGGATAATTGTAACGAAAAGGTCTAGTAAGATCTAGTAATCGATTGTCACAAATTCCATCATTGAAAAACAGTTCGCTATATCACAAAAAAATCATGACAAGACTGAAATAATATGTGGTAGGGAGTGATTCGATGGAATTC